CTTTGAAGATTACAGTAGATCTTGAACTAGTAAAGAGAATGTATCACAGGAGGTTAACAGAATCAGAAATTTTGGTCGGTGAAGCTTTATCATGTCTGTCTCAAAACAATTATTTTGACAAAATATTTCTCCTTGAACTCTAGGTAATTTTTGCTGTCGTTTCAAATAAAAGTCTGACCATTCTTCTTTCATAAGAGGCAGACTTGGAAATAGCGTTGGTCATTATTTGAATCGCTGTCCCCTCAGGAGTTAGTTTGATTTCCAAAGGAAAAAGCTTAACATAATTCTTGTCATTCACTTAAAATTTACTGTCTATTTCTCATTGTGATTCTCTTTAGTAGTATGATTTATTTTATTTTATCTCTCACACCGTAGTATTTCATTTACTTTTAAAATGGTCGTCTCATCAGGTTCTAAGATTAGGTTGCTTATTTGTCAGACAAAAATACTCATAGATTCTAAATTATATTTTCTCCACAGCATGTTACTATGAAGTCACCAATTCAGTATTTGACCTCAAATAACACCGAGGTCCACTTTGTTAATACGCACTCTCACTATAGTTTAAGTTTATTACAGAATGTTCTGAAAGATCCAAATTTATTTGTAACTCATGGTTGAATCCCATTTGAAATCCTCTAGTTGTTTAGAGTCACAGCAAAACTAGCAACTTGCCTTTCAACATTTGTAATAGCATAATGTGGCTTTCCACAAGCCACACTTGTTTTTAGAAGTATGTGCTAAACAGGCTGACTCAGCATTCTGAGATGCTCTGGCATTGTATTACCCGCCCCCCAACAAACATTTTTTTTCTTTATCTCATACCTCAAATTACAGGTTATTTGTATGCAAAAATTGCAGATAGTTCATCTATGATACTAACTCCTGGCAACTCAATAAAAGCTTTTTAGTAACATTTTTTTCTTAATCGAATATTGTGTTGCTTTTATAACATCTACAAACTAATTGGTAAATTATCTTACACTTTTAATCATTTTACTTTGGAACATACTCTATTTATTCTCCACACTAAAATATTGGACAAAAAAAAACTTTTATAAGAAGTGCAGAAATAAAATTGCTAAAGTCTAATTATAAAACAAAAATATTTGGGGTTTGATCTTAAATGTTTTAATTAGAAAAGGAAAAGCAGTTTTAAGTGCAGCTTGCTTTATGACCATATTAATATCAACATATATTATTATGTTAACACAATAACTCTTTGCCCTTTTCATACGGAAAATAGATTGTGAAAAAGAGAATGACCTTTGTTCTACCAAATGTTAAACAATGAAAGCATATCGTTTTGTCTGACCATTTAAGACCCACGATCACTTTTAAAACTCAACAATGCTTAGACACAGTTAAAAAGTCTTAATTCTTTGTAGTCTGTGCTACATATACAAAGATTACACAGATTTTTTTTCTAAAACTTAAATTATTTTCTAGTTTCACTAGAAACAACAGGTGTAAGATTCTATTTCCACCACAAGGGGTCAGTCCACGGTAATTTAATCTTCAAAGGGTTTTAAAATAATCCATGGAAAGTCAGTGACTACAGAAAATACTTATATCAAAACATGAACAGTCTTCGGTGCCCTAGCAGTTGAATAAAAAACAATCATGGAAAATGTGGTTGAGCGTTTATTTTCCTTTGCGTTTTCTACTCAGCTTAGTCCTGAGAATGTTGTATACCAAATCCCCGGAATTTTGCAATTCATGTCTCAGACACTACCCTGAGGCTGGTTTCAACGGAGAGAAGTAAATCCCCTGCTCAAGTTGTCTTTTTCCAAAACTTTGGAATATTAACAGTTAACTTTACTTTAGGTTTGGAATACTTCGTTGAGCTAGGATATGGAAAGCTGCACTTAAAAGTTGAGGCAAGGAAGGGAGGGACAGAGTAAACATGGGGTTTAAGGTTTTTTTCCGGCTGGGGAGCAGGGTTTGTGCTATTAAAGGTACACAATTTGAACAATTTAGGGAGCAAGGCACTCTCAGAAAATCAGCTTCGGATTCCTCAAACTGTCAGTCACAGCCATTTCAGGACGGGCTGTTAGGTTTTAAATAAGCAGGCTGGGCTTGGTGGCTCACGCCTGTAATCCCACCACTTTGGGAGGCCGAGGCGGGTGGATCACAAGGTCAGGAGTTCAGGACCAGCCAGGCCAAGATGGTGGAACCCCGTCTCTACTAAAAATACAAAAATCAGACGGGCGCGGTAGCAGGCGCCTGTAATCCCAGCTACTCGGGAGGCTGAGGCAGGAGAATCGCTTGAACCCGGGTCCGGAGGTTGCAGTGAGCCGAGATCGCGCCACTGCACTACAGTCTGGGCGATAGACTGAGACTCCGTCTCAAAAAATAAAATAAAATAAAAATAAATAAGCTAACGTGTGGGAAGGGTTTGTAAGCTCTAAACGGTCTATCTCAAAGAGTGATCTGGGAATGCTTCCATATCTCACGTGAACTTGTTGGAAATGAGAATCTCAGGCCCCATCCCAGACACACTGAACCGGAAACTGTGGGTGGACAGCCCAACATTCGGTGTTTTAATAAGCCCCCGGGTAAATTCTTATACACGCTAAAGTTTGAGAACCACTGCTCTAGAGAAATGCACAACGTTCCTTAGTGGAGATTAAACAAAAGGCGAAGGGTTGGAGGGCGCGGAACGGACCTCAAGGGCAGGGCACAGGGCGTTTGAGAGGAAACGGAGAGGTCGGAGTGCGACTTGGGGAGTCTTAGCCTCCAGGATGGTCCCGAACCCTGAGGACGCCGGGCGCCAGCAGGTGGCGCTGGACGCTCAACTGACAAGGAGGCGGGGCCTGCAGCAGGCGTGGAGGCTCCGCGCTCTGGAGGCTCAGGCGCGGCTTGGGGCCGGCACCTCCGGGCAACAGCGGCAGCCGAGACTCACGGTCAAGCTACGGCGAGGAGTGGGTGAGTCCCTTGAATCGTTCTCACTGGCCGCTTGCTCCTCGAGTCTGCCCGCGTGTCCCTGCAAGGCTGGGCGCCGGCTTCCAGTCTTGGGAGGGGTGTAGTGGGTCGCACGCCTTCTCGGGACCCGGACGGCGGCCCTCCTGGGTGAGCGTTGCTCAATTCTCCCCTTATGCGCGGCTCTGGGACGTGCTGCCTTCCAGCCCAGCTGGGTTGTGGCCGGGCCGGGGGTTGCGGGGAGCCAGGGACTCACAGGAAGCCTTTTCGCTAGGGGCTTAAGTTGTGATAGATTATTAAGTTTGTGCTCAGGTTGGATTTTGATGGCAAGTTTTTTAACGTGGCAAAGTCGCCAGAGTTTGCTGGGCATTGACGAATGATTGGTGCACAGTACTTAAAATCGTGCTACTTCTTGTCTTCGGGTTTCCTGGTAACAGAGTTTTCATTTTTAGTCCTTAGAACACTGGCCCTACTCTTTTAGGATCTGGATGGGGTTCAGGTTCCCTCCAAAATAGTCAGTCAAGGCTTTAAGTATGTAATTCTGGTCAAATCCACTGGAAGGAGTTTGTAGACAAATTTTTGTACACTTCCAAATTTCTTAACTTTGTTACTTTTGTAAAATACATTTCCCTCCACATCCTGACATGTAATAAAAGGTTATTCATTTAACATGAATGTTAAGCATAGAGAGAAAGCAATGCTTAAAAAGAAAAACAGCGCAGTGGGAAAAAAAAAAAAAAAACTCCACTTAGTTAAATGTAAAACAAGTGTGCACTTGGAAGTATAAAATGTTGGAAATGCAATGCAACCCACAGTGTATTCTAGTCATTGGGCTTCTTCATATTCTCAACTGTGGGACATAAACATGAGTCAGTTGGTCTGTGCCAACATTTAGGAACACCAGGGCAGCCATCCTGGTACAGCAAAACAGCAGTCGCTTTAGAAATGTGCTTCACTTTTTTAAAAGGGGGTGGAAGAGAACTTTGGGTCGAATTCTGGAGTTCCTAACATTTTAACACTAGGTTTTCCGTTATTTTTCTTTTTATGAAAAGATTTTACTGTAGAACTTAAATTACATTTTGGTTAATGTCTGATGGAAACTAACAAATTTATTTGACTCATAGTTTATTTTCTTGGTTCATGGGCATAGAACTGACTGTGGACCACCCAGTCAACAAGCTCCCTCACTGTCATAGGCTTTTCCTTGGCTTTGCTCTTGAGTGTGGTCTGCTTACCATGCAGACAAATGACTGGGTAACTCTCCAGGGCCACTCTGGTTTTCCACCCAGACTCCGTTTGCAGTGGCCAGCAGTCAGCAAACACTGCCAACCTGCTAGCTACCCCAGGACTGGGTCTAGAAGACAGCCCTCAGCCTTTTCCTCTGCTTCCCTTCCCATGCCACTATCTGCCTATAAAACTTTATCCTCCTCTAGGATACATCGCTCTACCATGCAGTTACTTGTTGAAATGCCTACCTTCTCTTCTAGACCTCAAGGTTTTTCAGAACAGAGGCTTTATCTCATTTAACTTTGTATTTCTCCTGCCTTACATTGTTGTTCACAATATAGTTAATGAATTCATATTGAATAAATGTAGATGAATTTGTTACCATCCTGCAACTCTCAAAGTTAAAACATCTTCTAAACATAGTGAATTATTTCTTACATTTGATTATAGTAGGTGACACTTCCATTCCTAGCGCCTCCCTCCCTGACCCCACAAACTATTATGTTGGTGATATGGTTTGGAGCTGTGTCGCCCTCTCAGATCTCATGTTGAAATATAACCCCCAGTGCTGGAGCTGGGGTCTGGTGGGAGGTGATTGGACCATGGGAGCAGTTTCTCATGGTTTAACACCATCCCGCCCTTGTTGGTGGTGTCACGTTAGTGCAGGGGTGCCCAACCCCCTGGCCGTAGACTGGTATCAGTGGCCTGTTAGGAACTGGGCTGCACAGCAGGAGGTGAGCAGCAGGCCAGCGAGCATTACTGCCTGAGCTCCACCTCCCGTCAGATGAACGGTGGCATTAGATTCTCATTAAGTGCACGAACCCTATTGCAAACTGCACATGCAAGGGATCTAGGTTGTGCGCTCCTTACGAGAATCTAACTATTGCCTGATGATCTGAAGTAGAACAGTTTCACCTCGAAACCCTATCCCCCTTCCCCCACTTGGAAGAATTATCTTCCACGAAACCAGTCTGCAGTGCCAAAAGGGTTGGGGACCACTGTGATAATGTAAGACGCCTGCTCCCACTTCACCTTCCGCCATGACTATAATACCTCTGAGGCCTCCCCTGAAGCAGATGTTGCCATGCTTCCTGTACGGCCTATGGAACCATGAGCCAATGAAATCTCCTTTCTTTATAATCATTACCCAGTCTCGGGTATTTCTTTCTCGCAGTGGGAGAACAGCCAGATACACTTGGTTAAGTCACCAAATCACTTGGAATAATGCTTCTTAAGGAGATAAGAGTGTCATTTCCTCCAGAGCAGGCATGAGTGTCATTTCTGTTTTTCCTCTTTAATGTTGATCACAGAGTTGGGTTCATAAATACTTCATGACTGGCATATGCTTTACTCAGAATTCTTTTGCATGCCAGTGGTGAACACCCAAATCACACTAACTTAAACAACAAAAAAAAGGGAATGTGTTGACTGTCTAACTGAAAAATTCAGGATCTAGTCTCAGGGACTGTAAATACTGAAATATGCCAGCAGGACTCTTCTATGTCTTCCTCCACTTGTTCTGCTTCCGTGTTGGCTTTCTTCTTTTCTAATGAAAACATCTTCCTTCTTAGAGCATGGAGAAAAAAGCATGGCAGGCTCATACTGTCCTATCTTAACAAAATGTTAAAAACATCTCATCTCTCTCTTCCACTTCCATATATAAATATCACAGAATGACCATGGTTTAAGTAGGATTCTGTGCCATCCCTAAGCCAATCAGTGGGAGAATAGGAAACTGATTGCCCAGGCCTGACTCATATACCCACTTCTGTGACCAGGGGATGGGCGTTACTATTTTGTGCAACCTCCCAAAATCATATTGGAGGGAGGGACGGGCATTTCTCCAAATGGAGGAAATGTTTTAAATCAGAAAAGAATGTGGGCAAACTAAAACAACAAATATCTTCATCATGAATGTTCTGTAATTTGGAAATAGATAATATCTGGAAAATATTCCACGAGTACCTCAACAAAGAAAATGCTGGCATATGTAAAAGCAACTCTTTATTCTTTGTTATGGTTAAACCTTTAAAACTTGGAGAATGTTTTGAGAACAGTCATGTCTCTTTATGACAGGATACATTCTGAGAAATTCATTGTAAGGCAGGATTTCATTGTTGAGGAAACATCATAGAGTGTACTTGATACCACCTCCTGCCTACTTAGGCTAGATGGTATAGTCTATTGTTTCTAGGCTACTAATCTGTATAGGGTGTTACTGTGCTAAGTACTGTGGGCAGCTGAAACACAATGGTAAGTATTTGTGTATCTGAACATAGAAAAGGTATAGTAAACATACATATATAGTATAAAAGATAAAAAATTGTTTATTTTGTACAGGACATTTACTGTTAATGGAACTTGCAGAACTGGAAGTTGCTCTGGGAGAGTCAGTGAGTGAGTAGTGAGTGAATGTGAAGGCCTGGGACATTACTGTACACTACTATAGACTTTATAAATGCTGTACACTTAGGCTACCCTACATTTATGGAAAAATTATTTTCTTCAATAATAAATTAGCTTACTGTAACTTTTTTACTTTATTAACTTTTTTTTACTCTTTTGTAACAACACTTAGCTTAAAACATAGTCACATTGTACAGCCATACAAAATATTTTCTTTGTTTATGTACTTATTCTTTAAGCTTCTTTTCTATTTCTAATTTTTTTTTTTCTTTTTAGACTTTTTGTTGAAACTAAGACACAAACACACACATTAGCCTAGGCCTACCCAGGGTCAGGATCATCAGTATCACTGTCTTCCACCTCTACATTTTGTCCCACTGGAAGGTCTTCAGGGGGAGTAACAGGCAGTGAGCTGCCATCTTCTATGGTAACAATGCCTTCTTCTGGAAGACCTGAAGGAACTGCCTAGGGCTGTTTACAGTTAGCTCTTTTTTTTGTAAGTAGAAGGAGTACACTTCACAATAATGATAAAAAATATAGTATTGTAAAAAGTAGACAATAGGAATTTTTTTGCTCCATTATAATCTTATGGGACCACTGTTACATATACAGTCATTGACCAAAATGTTATGTGACACATCACTGTATTTTAAACTATTCCTGGAAACAGCTTTCCACCTAAAACAGTACTACACGTGTTCTAAAATTCAGAAACATTTGGAATGTTTTCTGTCAATCAAATTGTTGTATATCTAATCTGTTTTTCTCATTGAATTTCATAAAGTGTAAATTGAAGATGTATTCCTCTGGAAATAAATTCAGAACTAATAAAAACAATGAATAATACTGTGACATATGTTTACTTTCCCTAAAAAATGTTACACCAATCCTGGATGAGGATCTGTGAGTTTGCTAAGGAAAAGATTCTTTTATCAAGTGAGAAATTTGAAAAGTTGTTTTCCACAGGGTTGACCAGAAGACTGGGCGCATCATTAATGCAGCACAACTTACCACTTCCACTGGAAACATACTAGCAATTCACATCTTCAAATCTTCACATCTTCCAAACAAAGACCAACCTCTTACTCCAAAAGAAAAGTGGTACTCTGAAAATACTGTTTCAGACTCCAGTGTCCACCCCAAAATTCTGTTAAACATAAATCTTACATCAGCTACCTCCAACCTCCATTGATGACATTATTACTCTCAATATAATGCATTCCTAATTATATTTGCCATTGAAAGGAGTTGGCTTTCCTCCAGATGGAAACCTGAAGTTAAATCTTCCTAAAGTAAAAGGCAACATCTGATCCTTTGTAATCCATACAGGCACCTGGGTTATTCATGGAACAAATAAGTGGATAAAAAAGAGCAGTTACCATTGATAAGAGGGCATTGGTTTGGAACTCTTACAGATTATAATCTGAAGTTAAATGTATAAATCAGTCACTATTTGAATTTTTATTGTACTTTATCTGCCACTCTAGTCTTTAAGCAAGTAACTTTTTTATATTGTTCCATCAAACATTTACATTTTCATAAGTAGAATAGACATGAAAGTAATTATTTTTATTTTTACAGGTGACTGAAGCCATACTATTTTATAGAATTAATGGAAAGCAGAAAAGACATCACAAACGAAGAAGAACTTTGGAAAATGAAGCCTAGGAGAAATTTAGAAGAAGATAATTATTTGGTACAATATTAGTAATAATAATAAATAATAATTTACATCTTTAAACATAATTGAGATGCCATTCTGTATCTCCTAGTGTTATGAAAGTGATTTTTCACCCTAGTCTGCTGATATCTGGACTTGTATTATTGTCACTGATACTGTGCAGGACAGAGTAGCATGTGTGAGAGAAATAGTACCTTCACTGATTTTCAGGGACTTAGCTGAATAACCTTGAATAAGTTACTGAAAATCTGGGGTCTTGGTTTGTCTATACCATGCAAGCCTTGGACCAGATCATCCCCAAGTCCCTTCCCATTCTTTCTAACAGTCTATAGTTCTAAGTTTAAAAAAAGTCATCAATGCCCATTTAACAGTAATTTTGTAAGCAAGCATTTTTGTCATAGATACAATGGCAGCTTGCCAAGAGATCATCTAGTAAATTGACAAATCACTGTATAACCAAATAAATCTACTTTTGGATAAGAATCACTTTTTCCACTTTTGGTTAAACACAGGATTAAGTGTTTCTTACTACATTTTTTGACTGAAAAAGTGGCAGAAAATTTTGGTTCCAAACTCTTCCAAATGATCTCAGTGGAAGTCTTAGTGGAAATTATTTATTTAATCTTAAAATTTTAATAGGGAAAAGTAATAAATTATAAGCATATACTTTATAAAAGTAACAGTGTGCATAAAATGAAATAATTTCATTTTTCAAGTTAACTATCTTACCTGTCTGAAGCATGTATTTCTTTTGTGCAAAAGACAAAAGTCTTTCAGTGCTACATAGACTATGCTATCTTCATCTAACCAGTGTTCAAAAGCAAGATTCTGAATGCCCTTATTCAATGAGAAGCACAATGATTGAGCAATAAGTAATTAGTTCAAGGGATCCCATTGTTTTGTTCAATTTTAAGATGTTTATTTTCTTTCCTTTATAGCATAAGGACACAGGAGAGACCAGCATGCTAAAAAGACCTGTGCTTTTGCATTTGCACCAAACAGCCCATGCTGATGAATTTGACTGCCCTTCAGAACTTCAGCACACACAGGAACTCTTTCCACAATGGCACTTGCCAATTAAAATAGCTGCTATTATAGCATCTCTGACTTTTCTTTACACTCTTCTGAGGGAAGTAATTCACCCTTTAGCAACTTCCCATCAACAATATTTTTATAAAATTCCAATCCTGGTCATCAACAAAGTCTTGCCAATGGTTTCCATCACTCTCTTGGCATTGGTTTACCTGCCAGGTGTGATAGCAGCAATTGTCCAACTTCATAATGGAACCAAGTATAAGAAGTTTCCACATTGGTTGGATAAGTGGATGTTAACAAGAAAGCAGTTTGGGCTTCTCAGTTTCTTTTTTGCTGTACTGCATGCAATTTATAGTCTGTCTTACCCAATGAGGCGATCCTACAGATACAAGTTGCTAAACTGGGCATATCAACAGGTAAGATGACAATGCTGACACTGTTACTAATAAAAAGTCTAAGTCACCTAACAAATTAATCATTTCTCATTGTAATATCAATACCCCAACCCTGTTGAAACTCTGTGTTGAAAAGTCATCTATTTTAAAATTTTTATTATAATTTCACTAGGGCTTGGTTGTCAGACTGTTTTATATTGAGAAATGTTTTTTAAACTGAAAATAAGGTACAACTTTAGCAACATAAGAAACATTTTGTTCATGGACAAGGCCACATTTCAAACTTCTACCACCCTCACAAGATTACTTTTTAATACTATTGTTCTTCTCCTTGTTTACCACATATGCATGCACATTGCAGTTCTATTCAAGTAAACCGTCAAATAATTATTAGAAAATTAATAGATTATGGAAATATTGCATTCAAGAAAAAAAGTGATAGCTCCTATGTCATTTGTCTTAGAGGAGTGCAAAAAAAAAGAAAGAAAAAGTCATAAATTTGTAGAGACCTGTTATCAGGGCTTCATAGTAGACACAGGGAAGAGTATAGAAGGAGATTCATATTCAGGAAATAACTGTTGTTTGCATTTCTTTTTTCTTTATTTACCTTCTGGTAGGTCCAACAAAATAAAGAAGATGCCTGGATTGAGCATGATGTTTGGAGAATGGAGATTTATGTGTCTCTGGGGATTGTGGGACTGGCAATACTGGCTCTGTTGGCTGTGACATCAATTCCATCTGTGAGTGACTCTTTGACATGGAGAGAATTTCACTATATTCAGGTAAATAATATATAAAATAACCCTAAGAGGTGAATCTTCTTTTTGTGCTTATGATATTAAATATGTTGACTTTATCCCATAAAAAATAACAAATGTTTTTCAATAGCAAAGATCTTGTACTTGTTCCAATTAGTAATGTGCTCTCCTGTTGTTTTCCCTATTGCTTCAATTAGGACAAATGTTTCCTAGACATAAATAAAAGGCATTAAAATATTCTTTTTTTTTTTGAGATGAAGTCTTGCTCTGTTGCCCATGCTGGAATACAGTGGCACGATCTCGGCTCACTGTAACCTGCACCTCCTGGGTTCAGGTGATTCTCCTGCCTCAGCCTCCTGAGTAGCTGGGATTACAGGCGCCCATCACTATGCCCAGCTAATTTTTGTATTTTTAGTAGAGACAGGGTTTCCCCGTGTTGGCCAGGCTGGTCTCGATCTCCTGACCTCAAATGATCCTCCCACCTCGGCCTCCCAAAGTGCTGGGATGACAGTCGTAAGCCACAACGCTCAGCCTGCTCATTCTAATATTTGAAACTTGTTAGACAATTTGCTACCCATCTAATGTGACATTTTAGGAATCCAATATGCATGGTTTATTAGTTCTTTAAAAATAAAAATATTCTTTTACTTGTCACCTGAATTTAGTAATGCCTTTTATGTTACACAACTTAGCACTTTCCAGAAACAAAAACTCTCCTTGAAATAATAGAGTTTTATCTACCAAAGACATTCTAGTATCTCATTTCAATGGCTGCTTTTTCCAGCTTACATTTTATATAGCTTACTCACTTGAAGCTTCTAAATATTCTTGGAATTTTAAAACTATCTCAGATTTACTGAAGTTTATCTTCTGGTGGTAGATTATCCATAAAAACAGTGATGCACCAGAATTCACTCGGGGATCCTTGTGTGACAAGGTTCAAAGGACTAAATTTAATTCAGTCATAAACACTGCCAGTTACCTTTTATGGGTAGACATCTTTGGAAATTTCCACAAGGTCAGACATTCCCAACTATCCCTTCTACATGTCCACACGTATACTCCAACACTTTATTAGACATCTGATTAGGCTGGAAAGTATGCCTCCATCTGAATGATTCCAGTGTGGCTTAGAGTTGATACCACATTCTCACAGAGTTTCCTGATTTTATAGGTTCAGCCTGATGGCCATTGGATTTCTCTGGTCCTCATTAAATAGCTTTCTTCATACATTGCTCTGCCTGTTACATATATGATGAACACTGCTTTTTAGACTTACTTAGGAATTTAAGACTGCATCTTGACAACTGAGCCTATTCTACTATATGCACAATACCTAGCCCATAATAAGTATACAATACACATTTGGTAAAATTAATTTTCAACCAATGACATGTGTTTTTCAACTAGTTACCTAGAAATGTTTCACTTAAAATCTGAAAAGTGGTTACACTACAAGTTACCTTGGAGATTCATATCTGAAAACATAAACTTAGCTATTTGATGGTATTCATTGGGACTTAAGAATGCGCCTGAATAATTGTGAGTTAGATTTGTTCTGGCAGGCTAATGAGATTTCCAGTAAAGTGAATAGAGGTCAGAAGTCATATAAAAGAGCTGTTGTCAGAACACTGTTAAGATTACATAGGTGAACAACTATTTGTAAGCAACTTTATCTCCGTAGTGACAAAGCAACCCAATGCAAGCTGAAATGTTTCATCACATCTCTGGATCTCTCTATTTTGTGCAGACATTGAAAAAATTGTTCATATATTTCCATGTTATCAGAATATTTGATTTCTTAAAAACATAGGCCAAGTTCATTCACTTCATTATTCATTTATCAAAATCAGAGTGAATCACATTAGTCACCTTCACAATTGATAAAGATCACTGAAGTCAAATTGATTTTTGCTATAATCTTCAGTCAGTCTACCTATATTTAATTGAGCATCAAAATGTGCAAATCATTGTGTTGATTCTGCAGGGATCCTGTTGTAAGTAAGACTCAGTCCCTGATTTTAGGTGTCTTGTGATAGCAGAATTAAGACAAATACACAAGAGACAAAGCACAGAAAGTAAATATCATAAGGGGATGTACAAAATGGTGGAGAAAGAGTAGACAGAGTTTTTGATCACCTGCCTTCAAAGAAAGGCTGTGAATTTGTTCACTTAAATAGCCTGGAGACAAGAAATTACCCAAAAGTAAGGTGAGGAGGACAGGCAAAAAGAGTATAAAGATGTGAATGGACATTGTTGAGAAATGTGATAGGAAAACAATCATAGATAAAGGATTTCCAAGCAACAGAGTATATCCAGATGAGGTAGGATGGGATAAACTCTTATTGAACCAATCTTCACCAATTTTGTTTTTCTCTTGCAGAGCAAGCTAGGAATTGTTTCCCTTCTACTGGCCACAATACACGCATTGATTTTTGCCTGGAATAAGTGGATAGATATAAAACAATTTGTATGGTATACACCTCCAACTTTTATGATAGCTGTTTTCCTTCCAGTTGTTGTCCTGATATTTAAAAGCATACTATTCCTGCCATGCTTGAGGAAGAAGATACTGAAGATTAGACATGGTTGGGAAGACGTCACCAAAATTAACAAAATGGAGATATCTTCCCAGTTGTAGAATTACTGTTTACACACATTTTTATTCAGTATTGATATATTTTATCACCAACATTTCAAGTTTGTATTTGTTAATAAAATGATTATTCAAGGATCTTGATGTTTCTCTTTGTATATGTGTGATGAGTTTGAAATATGTATATTTCCTTGCAGATTTGATTCAAAGCAAAAAAAATCTTTTAATACGAATCTCTTCCACTTTCTCTATGATAAGAGTAAGCATGACAAAAAAATCATATCTGATTTGTCAGATTATGTAGCATTATAAATAATCAAGGGCTTTGAAATACCACTTGTTGCTACCCATTATACAGGTATCATTAGCTATGAAAAGTTTATTTTATCTGAATCTACAACAAAAGCATAATAAGCATTTATTTACTATTGTTAAAGAACTTTCCTTTGTCTGTACCCAGGTTTTACTAATGGAACACCTATCTCCAAAAACACTCAGACTATATCTATACAAGTAAAGCAGCAGAGTAATATCAGATACACAGCCAGGCAAAATGAAACTCAGGCTATCCAGGAGAAAAAGTAAATTCAATAATTTCCACCTGAGTCATATACAATTCAGTTTAACTTACTTTAATGCATTGGTAAAAGCATAACATAAAACATTTCCTGAAAGAACAAACTATACATTAACTGTCAGGACTTGCTAACACAACTGTTAGCTTCAGAGGTTTTTCATAATTAGCAAAAGTAATCACAAGCTTTATCTTTCATACTGGTGAGCCATTTATTATTAAAGACAATACAGCTAATGGTGCAAATTAGGAAAAACAATTAGGTGATTCAGTAAGTGGAGTCCAGTGTTTTTTTGTTGTTGTTGTTCTATTGCAAAGGATGATTATTCATTATTAGATGGGGGATAAGGAACCTCCTTGGGCACAAATTTGAACTCTGCATTATTGGAGTTCAGACATACAGAGATATGTTTGCAAGTAGTGAAGAAAGGATTTGAGAGCAGCAATTCTGAACTGGAACCAGGGCAGACAAGAGTGCCCTTGAGAAAAAAGTCAGCGTAAAAGAAAAAGAAATCTAGGACTCTAGAATTGCAAACCAGATTCATCAAGGGAACAACATACTATGGGACCACTTAACTAAGCATGACGTCATTCTATAATCAACCAGCTCTGAGATGCAGCAGTCAAGTACCATAGTCTCACCTGCATGGCAAAGTGTCAGCATCTCTAGTACTGAGAAGGAGAAATCAAGTTTCAGCCTTCCTAGTACCAACACATTATAGAGGCTGCAGCTTGGAACCGTTTGCAGGTGAAGTGGCACCTCAGTGAAGCTTTCAGGGACAACAGCCGAGTTCTGGCTTGATTATTGGAGCCCTGTCTTGTCAGCCATGGTAACAAGCAACAACAGGCCATTCAGAAACACAGAATATACCTTTTTGAGAATTCCTAGTTGTAGGAGAAAGGGAATCAACAAGGGCCTTAAAAGCAAGGCACAAAACATCTAGATTCCACTTTTACTCATAGATTGGTAAGAACTAAACCATTCACTCTTTGTAGCTTTTCTGAAATTTTTACAATGATTGGGTAATATTATGAGCCAAATAAAACAATAAAAATTGTCTTTAAAATAACAATTACAATGTTCTGGTATAAACTTGGATTTTCTTCTGCTCACTCCACTAACATCTATAGAGCATATTCCATATGCCAGATCAGTGCTAAACAGAGGATATAGCCAGATAGAAATGATCTAGTCTCTACTCACAGTCATGGGGAAGAAAAATTTTAGTACGCCAAAGGATTCTAAGTGTACTGGTATCACTTAGGAAGGAATGACCAGTTCTGTTTACAAGAACAAAGTCAAGAAAGTATAAGGTTGAGCCAGAAAAATAAACTATTTGAGCTGGATATTGTGTATGTAAAAGTTCCTCAGAATGGGAGTGCAGGGTGTAATGTGATGTGTTGGAAGACCTAGCTTAGAGTGGCTGCAACAGAATATGTGAAAGAAATACCAGATTACATATAGACAAAGGATAGATAGGTCAAGGTCATTGTATGACATGAAACTAAGTTTGGGTTTTGCCCTTTAGGGAGTAGGGAAGCCACTAAAAACTTTAAACAGGAACTAAACATTATTTGGGAGCTCCTAAACATTATTATTTTAGGCACTAAACATTATTAGATTTGCATTCTAGAAAGATCTACCTGTAGACTATCCAGGAGATTAATTTGATGGTGGGGGCAAAGGGTGAAGGCAAGTTATAAAACAAAAAAAAATATTTAAGGAGACAACCGTAATATTCCAGGGCAGCGACAATAAATTCCCAAATGAAGGTCATTACAGAGAAGAAGATAAAAGAAGAGAGCTAATGAAATATGATAGGAAGATAGAAATTCTAGTCATTCATGAACAATAGAATATGAGGAACAAGGGGGAGGAAGATATTTAAGGTAGAGCTTCTAGGATTCTTTTAAATTGGATGATTTAAGAATGACACCATTAAACAGGATAGAAAAATTCCACAGAAGGAACAGGTATTTTAACCGAAACAAAAACAGAGTGTGTGCTGTGTACATTGTGTGCTGTTTACAATCATCTCAGTTGTTAAGGAACACAGTGTGTTTTTTTAGTTTCAGGGTACACAAATATAACTATGAAAGACATATAGTTTGGGAAGCAGAAAGGAAAAGGTATTTTTCCTGCTCCTTTGAAAGGGTGCTTTTTAAATAAAACTTTTTATATACTCAACACACTTATATCTGGATAATTATAGATATGAATATAGATATGAGTGTCACTGTGCTATAACACGCACAGGGTCCTCCTGGAGTAGAAGGAACAGCACCTGGAAAACAGCTGGCTGTGAGCCCAATGCCTTCCTTCTCCAAGCAGAGCTCTCCTTCCTGATCAAAGTGAGTCCACCTGGAGTTTATTTTCTTTAAAGATTTGCTCAATAGAGATGTTATTATCTTTGGTTTTTAAAAAAAAATTAAAATGATATATTTACTATTTTAATAATGAGTTACATTTAATGTTTTATGGCAACAAAAAAGAAATATCTGATTCTGATGAGGAGAAACCAGCGCAAAAAGGCTGCAAATACCAAAAACCAGAAGCCCTCTTCTACTCCGAAGGATCAAAACGCCTTGCCAGCTTCTGAATTTAAATTCAGGAATCTCTGGACAGAGAATGAGTTTGACGAATTGACAGAAGTAGGCTTCAGAAAGTGGGTAATAACAAACTCCTCCAAGCTAAAGGAGCATGTTCTAACCCAATGCAAGGAAGCTAAGAACCTTGAAAAAAGCTTAGACAAATTACTAACTACAATAACCAGTTTAAAGAAGAACAGAAATGACCTGATGGAGCTAAAAAACACAGCACGAGAACTTTGTGAAGCATACACAAATATCAATAGCCAAATCAATCAAGCAAAAGAAAGTCTATCAGATATTGAAGATCAACTCAATGAAATAAAGTGAGAAGACAAGATGAGAGAAAAAAGAGTGAAAAGAAATAAACAAAGCCGCCACGAAATATGGGACTATGTGAAAAGACCAAATCTACATTTCACTGGTGTATCTGAAAGTGATGGGAAGAATGGAACCAAATTGGAAAACACTCTTCAGGATATTATCCAGGAGAACTTCCCCAACCTAGCAAGGTAGGCCAACATTTAAATTCAGGAAATACAGAGAACACCACAAAGATATTCTTCAATAAGAGCAACCCCAAGACACGTAATCATCAGATTCACCAAGGTTGAAATGAAGGAAAAAATGTCAAGGGCAACCAGAGAGAAAGGATGGGTTACCCACAAAAGGAAGCTCATCAGACTAACAGCAGATCTCTCAGCAGAAAACCCTAGAAGTCAGAAGAGATTGGCAGCCAATATTCAATATTCTTAAAAAAAAGAATTTTCAACTCAGAATTTCATATCCAGCCATAATAAGCTTCATAAATGAAGGAGAAATAAAATTCTTTACAGACAAGCAAATGCTGAGAGATTTTGTCATTACCAGGCCTGTCTTACAAGAGCTCCTGAAGGAAGCACTAAACATGGAAAGGAACAACCAGTACCAGCCACTGAAAAAACATACCAATTGTAAAGACCATTGACACTATGAAGAAACTGCATCAGCTAACGGGCAAAATAACCAGCTAGCATCATAATGGTAGGATCAAATTGACATATAACAATATTAACCTTAAATGTAACAATATTAACCTTAAATGTAAATGGGCTAAATGCCCCAATTAAAAGACACAGACTGACAAATTAGACGATGAGTCAAGACCCATCAGTGTGCTGTATTCAGGAGACCCATCTGACATATAAAGACACACATAGGCTCAAAATAAAGGGATGGAGAATATATTTACCAAGCAAATGGAAAGAAAAAAAAGAAGCGGGGGTTGCAATCCTAGTCTCTGATAAAACAGACTTTCAAGGGCATTACATAATGGTAAAGGGATCAATGCTACAAGAAGAGCTAACTATCCTAAATATACATGTACCAAATAGAGGAGCACCCAGATTCATAAAGCAAGTTCTTAGAGACCTCAAAGAGACTTAGTCTCCCACACAGTAATAGTGGGAGACTTTAACACCCCACTGTCAATATTAGAAATATTGACGAGACAGAAAATTAACAAGGATATCCAGGAATTAAACTCAGTTCTGGACCAAGCAGACCTAATAGACATTGACAGAACTCTCCACCCCAAATCAACAAAATATACATTCTTCTGAGCACCACATCGCACTTATTCTAAAGTTGATCACGTAATTGGAAGTAAAACACTCCCCAGCAAATGTAAAAGAACAGAAATGATAACACTCTCTCAGAACACAGTGCAATCAAATTAGAACTCAGGATTAAGAAACTCACTCAAAACCACCACACAACTACATGGAAATTGAACAACCTGTTTCTGAATAACTACTGGGTAAATAACAAAATGAAGGCAGAAATAAAGATGTTCTTTGAAACCAATTAGAACAAAGACACAATGTACCAGAATCTCTGGGACACATTTGAAGCAGTGTGTAGAGGGAAATTTATAGCGCTAAATGCCCACAAGAGAAAGCAGGAAAGATCTAAAATTAACACTCTAAAATCACAA